CTTCATTCTTTTTCATTTTTAGTTACCTATAGCATCTGTTGATTATAGTGACGGTTGCTGCCTCAGTGATTCGCATTATATGTGTATTTGACAATGGAATGTACTACCCATTGAAGTTCAACAAAGAAAACAATTAAGGCCTTTTCAAACAACAATCAAACATTTTACCTTCCCGTTCTACAAATGGCCAAAATTTAGAGACACAGAACGGAAATACGATTTAGTGCTTAATCAAATGAGAGTTAATTTTGCCGTATTAATTTTGACTTGCTCGAAAAACGTTTATATGATAACCAGTTTTGTGTCTGTGCAAAACTAGAGACAGTCAAGCAGTTTCTATTGCAGTGCCCGCTTTACCAGCTACAAAGAGATAGCCTTTTCAAAGACTAATCTACTATACTCCGTAATCTCTCCTACATGCTTAAGAATGTGCCTTTTCTTCAAAAAATGGAAAATATACCACATCGACGTCTTATGTTTAACGTACCTTTTAACCACCTGGTACGTGAAGTTCAGTTTCGCTCAGGTTTTAATGTCGAATGAATAAGCTACAAAATGGCATATTGCATGTGTAGTTTACACTTTATTTATCACCTCGACAAAAAAAAGTAGAAATGAATATTAGACAGTTTTGCTTCAGATGCACATCCGAACAATTCCTAATTTTGCTTAAGTGTATGTATATAAGAAGACGGTTCCGCTCGTGGCCGGACAAAGAAGAAAATGAAAGTATTTGCGAATTAAAAGTGTCAAAGGACGGAGCTCGATAACAGGCAAAATCGATCCTCTCTCAGATTTTATTGATGGATACGATGTAGTTTCTGTTTGAAAGTGAAACTGGTATTTTCCAGATCTTCACTACTCTTTGGTAGTACACATCAAAAACATTTTTCTATTTCAACCTTTCTTACCTTCGATAGCCTTTCTTGATAATATATGGCTTATTTCGTTTTGAAACTTCATAGCAAACCACAACTACCATCTATCTTCGTTAGACAATTTGATGAACTACAACATGGTATATAAACGAGTGAAAATAAAATGTAACTAGGATCTGAAATATATACAAGTATCATGTATATTATTTTGGCGTTGGATAATATGACCATAGCTTTTGTAAAGCAGTTAGTTGAAAAACGTGCCGATACTGTTTTAGGTGTTTGAATCGTGCATTGTGGGTGATGCAATAGAGTAGAGAATATATATTGTTGTAGCCTGCGTGTTTCTGAACGATGCTGGCAAAGAAGAAAAATGGTCTTGTTTAAAGTTGCACGGGTTTTGCCGCAAAACGGAAAAAGGTTTTGATTGTCTTTGATTTTCAGAGTCTAGTTTCAGTGATAAAGCTTTATTTTAACATTAATGAACAAGTAAACAAGGACAAAGTATAAAGAATCTGTCTACACATACATCGTTAAAGTTTCATATTTTAAAAAGCGTTCCTTCTGAACGTTGAACTGTTACCACATACTTTAACGAATTTTTAAGCATTCGGCTAACTGAACCCGCACCGAACGAAAACAGGGTTTTGTGGAAACCTTTGCAAAACCTTTTACTTGAGCTTAAGCGCTTTTCAGAATATGAAACCGAAACAACTGGTATATTTCTAATACCATGGAATATTGGTCCCATCGTAGGACCCATAATTGTTGATAGTTTATTGGATTCATTCGGTTGGAGAAGTACATTCGTTTTCTTAGCACTTCATCAGCACGTCATCAGCAAGCAATAGTAACTATTACAAGCTGAATATATAAACTAAATAAAACCTGAAGCCATATCGAACGTAAACAATGTTTTGTATAGGTGGAAAACCTTTTACTTGAGCTTTTATAATATGAAACTTGAACGGTATATGTGTGAACAGATTCTTTATACTTTGCCCTTGTTCACTTGTTCATCTTGATCATGTTCACCTGATACTTTACTTTCTAACCTCGAAAGTTTATACCGCTAGCTCGACACTGTCAAGCTTTTATTTCCACATCTTGATGATTTACTTACTCAGGGACTATCTCTTGAAAACTATGCTTTAGATAAGAACCATATCACCGTATTATAGCTTACATATAAACAAGCTGAACAAGTGTCCTGGTTGGTGCCTTTATTTGTCAGGAGTATAATATTATTTTACAAGAAAATACTTCAATACATCAATGTTTGGTAGTAGATGAACGATCACGTATGAAAATCATCGTTTTTCGCTGTGTTTCTTTTGTTGAACTTTAACAAAAACAACCGTATTAGCAATGATAATAGAAATAATACTTAATCCTGCAAGTATTGAAAATAATAGACCAATTCCAACAGCTTTTATTATTGGAGCAGCAACAACAGTACCTAAACCAGAAAATATAAAGGGTAAAAAGATAACAACTGCAGAAATAGCTCCAGCTTCGTCTTGCTTTTTATTAGTTAAATATGAAAATCCAGCTGGTTCATATACAGAATGTCCAAATGCCACAATAAATGTTGCTATTATTACTAGAGTTAAATTTAGTTTAAAATGCAGTGAGCAACCATAAAATAAAAGACCAACTGGTACAAAGAAAGCACCGAACGACGCTGGTATTAGGCGGCTTTCAGGTATCTTACCCGAATAATATCGACCTGCTCTATCAGCTAATGAACCACCTAAAGCGGAACCAATGAGAAGTCCTATACCGCTAGGAATATAACAGAAGCCAATGATTGCTTCATTAAGATTATATGGCTTTGAGGATAACTGGTCGGGAAGTGCAATCAGACTCATAAAAAATGTAGTAAATGCAATTGTCATTAACAAAATATAAGGTGCAATACTTAAATCAGTTAAAACTGATAATGGTTTCCATGGAGCTGCAAATACTGGTTTATGAATCAGATCGACTTCTATTGTAATGCTTCCTAGTGCTTGCTGATGACGTTGTAAAACGAAATATTGATGCGTTTCAGGTAGAAGAATTAATATCATTATTGTTGTCAAAAAAGCATAAAGTGCTAAAAAAACGAATGTACTTCTCCAACCGAACGAATCCGATAAACTACCACCAAGTACGGGTCCTAAGATAGGACCAATATTAAATGGTATTAGAAACATACCAGTTGCAAATCCACGTTGTGTTGGGGCGAACACATCTGCTATAACACCTAGACCAACCGCATCTGTGGCTGTTATAGAAGCGCCTTGCAATGCTCGAAATATAATCAAGTAAATAATATTTGGCGTAAAAATGCAAATTATACTGGTAGTAATAAACAATATACTTGAAACAATTAAACATATTTTACGACCGTAATAGTCAGAAAATGATCCCCATACTAAACTAAATATACCACAAAAAAATAAATAAATCGCTACACTTTGTAATACTAATGCATATGATGTGTGCAGATCCTTTTCAACAACTGGTAGTGCTGGTAAATAAATTGTATCACAAAGTGGTGATAGTAGACCTAATGTACACACAGCAAATAATATAATATTACGTTTTCGAGGTGAATATATATCATAAATACTTTTGTTTGTATTATTTTCACTAATAGTTTGTTGCTCATTTTTTCTTGATGAGGACGAAGGGTGTTCTTTTATTGATACAGAATGCTCGGTATCGTAATATAATAGACTTTCTTCTGTTGATAATTGTTGTTCGCACATTTATCGTAGTTTTGTATATATTTTTCAGTCAAAATGACGCTCGAAGGTACAACCGCAATCAAGCGTTAGACATTCGATGATTACTAGTCAACATAAAAAGCAAACTGAGAAGAACGCAAGTATGTTTCTGTTTTACCATATTATTGAGTATTAAGCGCTTCATAGAAGATATGAAAAAGAAAGAAAACGCCCATTCATAGTCATCTATCTTTTGTAAAAATCTTTCATTATTTATTGATGAGACAAAAAAATCTCATTAAAATCTCACCTTTTAGTGCTAATATCTCGCGTGTTACACTAATATCTCGTGGTGTTCAAATATATACAAAAATTTGTTAATATCGAGTGTACTCACTAAAATCTCACCTTTTACTGCTAATATCTCGCGTATTTCACTAATATCTCGTGTATGCGAGACATTAGTACCTTTTAGTACTAATATCTCGTGTATGCGAGACATTAGTACCTTTTAGTACTAATATCTCGTGTATGCGAGACATTAGTACCTTTTAGTACTAATGTCTCGCATTTTTCCGTAATATCTTGTGCATTTATTAAAATCTCACCTTTTCCTACAAATATCTCGCGTATTTCATTGATGTCTCGTGCATTTTACTAAAAGTTCGTGGTATTCAAATATGCTACTAATAGCTTGTGCATTTTAGTAATGTTTGAGTCAATGGCGTGATGTTTTGGCCGTTTCTTTAAAATCTTGTGTTTCGCTAATATCTCGTGTATTTTGTTGATATCTGTTTTCGCGAGATATCAGGCATCCCTCAGACGACCTCCTAATAGGGTGCACACACTTAGAAGTGACACTTTAAAGGCAGGGATCGGTCCTATAGGATGAGTGAATAAATGACTGTGCTCCTCGTATGCCGACATATAGACTATTAACTATCTTGTATTCTCTTTCTTGTGAATAAATCACGTTGTATATTACCCACTCTTGACCTATTAAGGTGTGTTTTTTTTTGAAGAAAATTAAATCTTACAGAAAAGCTCCCTAAGGTAGTTTACAAAAAGCTTCTCCATTCACGATCACAAATGCTTTTCAATTCTGAAATCTGACCACAACTAATGGAAGGCGAAGGAAACGATCGTACTACAATGAGCCTTCCAAATTTTCAGGGTCAACTGCTAACTGATACACTAGGAAACCTCGATGCATGCGCAGACACTTCAGTTATCCTTCTTCTCTTCTCTGCTGGTCCCCTACAAATTCAAACTGCGCATGAATCAAATCGAATCGATAGTATTCTACAGCTGGGCTTTCCTGCTCAAGAAGCAGGTAGAGCTTTAAAGTCTGTTTTATTTCTCAACAACACTCTGCCGTCTAAAGACCAAGTCGTCTCAAAGTTTGGACGACTTCCCTACACATGGCCAAGGTGACTCGAAGATGTGCCGAGCATAACAAATTACAATATGAGCGGGTTTACGTATAGGTATTACCGACAAGATATCACTCCTCTTTAGGTTCGATACGGAAAGAACGTCGACGATTGTACATAGCTTTCATTTCAATGGTTGCAGAAAGATTGTATCGACAACAGAGTTGATTATAAGAGTCAGCAGATAAGTTTTGACTTAATTGCGGTGTCAGATATGCGTGAAAAACTAATGAAAACAGTGTATGAATTACAGAGTATGTTTTTTTCCCGATCATTACAAGGTTCAAAAACTCGCTAAATGTAGCATTGAATTAATTCTGATTTTTGTTAATTACCTACGGAATTTCTCGCTACTTAAAACCCTTGAGCAATACCAGCTCACTAAATCATTCACCGCTTTGTCATACGGCGTGACGCTTATTCAAGTCAAAGCCAAATTCGATCTTTACCAAAACTTCAGATGTGAAAGAGCGACGAAGAGTTTTTGAAAGTAGAATTACTTAATTTCAATATATTGAGATTCTATATGAACATTTCGAAAATTTTCGGTGGATTTCTATAGCTGACTTTTACAGATACAGTGGTTCGTTAATTCGCTACTATTTTTGCGAAGGGCTTCTTCTTCTTTCAGCCCTGGAAAGCAGATTTCGCAATCAGTGACAACACTCTCCTTTAAAAATCATATCTCAAACATTTGCTGAACGACTAAGAAGTCGAAACTTATTACTGGAAAAAGTCATTTGTGCCACTGTAAAATGTGTAAGCTGGCTCACATAAAAATGCTGGATATTGAGTATATGCAATCTTAACAAAAAATGGCTCCTCATCATGCAACTGTTTTTGAAAACATTAAAAATAGCAAAAAATGCCGAAGGAGTTTCCAGATGAAATGAACGCAATGATTTTGCGCGTCATAGAATTTGTTGAAAAAGAAAAATCGGGGATCGTGATTCCATTGAACAACACAACT